TACTGCACAATGAATGGTGTAGAGGTAGAAAAAAAGGAATGACCAGTGATATTAAATAACTTTTAGTTATTATAAGCATTTGTATGCCAGAGGGAATATAGGTAGTGAGACTTTGTATAGCATGTGGTTTAAGAGCACAGAGTTTAGAGACAGACTGCTTGGGTTTAAGTCTTGTCTTCACCACTTTCTACCTATGTGTCTTTAGGCGAGTTACTTAACCCTGTGGAGCATCAGTACTCTGATGTGTACAGTGGGGCTAATAATACTTCCTTCATGGATTTAGATTAACTGTTATAACAGTTGCTGACCCATAGTAAGTATTGTGTAATTGTTTACTATTAGTAATTAACATCTATTGAATACTTCTGTGTGGCAAATCCTATAAAAGTGTCTGTATATACAGAATAGGCAAAGATAAGAGTTAAAATTGTGAAATAGTTTATTCTTTTGTAAAATAAGTATGGTTTTTAAAATTTGTTTGTTCGTTTTAATCCTCACAGTAGGATGTTTCCACTGGCCTCCTGAAAATACCACAGTGGTTTGGAGTCCTTATTTTAGGTGGAAAATTTTAATAAGTTGGTGATAGTAAAGCTGCTTTTAGGATCTTAAAGCTGAGATTTATTACGCATCCTCTAGAAGTAGATAAATCAGGCATGGTGTTAACCTTGCAGAAATTGTCAAGCTGATACCAGTCACCAGCACCCTGAAGAGGTATTTGATGTGTTCCTTTGGTAGAAAATTAGAATTTAATCTGGCTCTTTATTTTTCATTCCTAGAAATGACTACAGAAATGATCAGCGCAACCGACCATACTGATGACTGTTTTGAATGTTCCTTTGTCTCTGACATGATCCATAGTGAAATTGCCAGAGTTTTGCCTGCTGCTTTCCTGGTGGCCTATTCTTGGGTAGTGAAATTAAGTGACATTTAGAATTTTATTTGGGTGGGAGGGCTGGGACAGTTTTTCTTTTAGTAATGTTGGAATTTTCTCCTTTAGTTTCCAACTTTCTCCTTCCCAACCCTTGAAGCTAAGTGCGTTGTAAAATATTGCCAAAATGGAAAGTGTTTTATAATACTGCAATAAAGGCTTCTTGTTTTGTGGATTTTTGTATATTAGTGCATCATTCTGTCACACTCAGGATTCAGTTACAGCAGATTCTAACCCTGAAGAATTAGGAAATGATCCTACTTCATTAAATTAAAATGTTACTTTCAACAGTATTTATTGAGCGTCTACTCTGTTTAGAATAGCAATTTCTAAAGAATGACTGTACATCAGAATTACCTGAGGGAGTTGTCAAAATTAGATTACCTAAGCCTCATCTCAGGTTTGTTGGATCAGAACTTGGTGGGGATGTGGGGAAGGAGTTAGCTCCTTTATGTCAAGCTCACCAGGTGATTTTGAGAATTCCAGTTTATAATTTAGAACCACTGATTTAGGGCAATGTTCTAGATGCTGGGAATATGGAGGTCGAAGGGCTAGGTAAGAAGAGTAACAATTCAATAGTGTAGAGGGTGTGTTATTTGGTATTCATTAAAAACTATTTCTTCTACCCTTACCAAGAACCTGGGACAGGCACTATATCAGATCTCGATATGTGCACAAAAAGCAAACACAATATACAGATAAGTGCTCCAGTAAGAATAAATGCAAGATGCTTTTGAGGGCTGATTTGAAGGACACTTAATTCAGTCATGGGATCAGGAAGGTTTGGTGAGTCTTGAGGGAAGAGTAGGAATTGGCCAAGTAATGAGGCTGGGTTGAGGAAATGGTATTCCCAGCAGAAAATTAATAGCATCAACAAACAGATTAGAGCAGTGGTATTTTGTGGAAAAGCCACACACAAGGGGCCAAAAAGCCGCATGTGGCTCTCGAGCCTCAGTTTGCTGACCATGGGATTAGAGAAATGAAGAGATTGAGGAATAGATGCTGGCTTGAGAAGTATAAGTAGTGCATTGTGAGGGAGGAGTTCAAAGATAGGCTTGCAAAAGATAAGACTGGAGAGGTAAACAAGCTTTACCACAATTAAGGTGATCAGACGTCCTGTTTTTGGGGGGAGAGTCCCGATTTTTAACAGTTTGTCCCATGTCTCGTGGTTTAAAAAAGTCCAAAAGATTTAAAAAGAATCTCAAAAAATCAGAACTTTTTTAAAACGCCTTGGGACGCGGGACAAGTAGATAAAAATTGGGATGTCAGGTCACCTTACATAAGGTCCTTGCATTTCAGTTTCCTCCTACCTTAAAATAGGGAATCAAAAGATTTTAACCAGGGGAGTGTCCTAACCTGAGGTATCTACTGAAAGACAATAATGGCTGAAAGTGAAGAAGCTGAACAGGAGACAATGGTAAGCCAGTGAGAAACACTGGTCTGAGCTCAGATATTGACTGAAAGAGGAGGACATAACTAAATTTGAGAAATAATGAGGGGAATTAGATAGGATCTGGCTACATGTCAGAAATGGGAAGGAGGAGTTAGGTTACTGGCATGGGCAATTGGATAGGTATTTATTGAAATAGAAACAGTAAGGAACAGATGTGGGAACAAGGTGGGAATGAATTTTTTTAGGTATGTTGCGTTTGGGGCACTCAAAATTAGAAGTAGAGACATCCAGTAGACCTCTGGATATGCAAACCTGCAGCTCAGAAAACTACACTTCCCTGATACTGTTCCATACTGGCATTTGTTTTGCTAAACTTCTCTACTTGGTTTTTACATGTTGGAAGTTCTGATCTCTGCTCTCTTTTATTGACACTCTTATTCTGGGCAAACTCATATTATTGCTTTAAATATCCCAATACAGCAATGACTACCAAATTTATGTCTTCAGTCCTGTCCTCTCCCCTTAACTCTGGTTTATACCCAGCTTCCCACTTGACCTCTCTACTAAATAAATTTGATTTTTCTTGGCAACTCCTTAAGAATTGAACAAAACTTTTGATCTTCCTCTCCAAGTTCTTTTCTTTCTAGTCTTTTCCATCTCAGTAAATGTCCTCACTGTCCACCTAGATCAGATCAGGTAAAAAACTTTAGAGCTTATACTTGCTTTCTCTCATTCATTCTGTACCTGCAGTCCCTTTTAATTGTACCTTCAGAATATATCCTGAAACCATCTTTATAGTCTTGGTTACAATCCTAGTATGAACTAGTCATTTCTTTTTTGGACAATTGGAGTTGCCTATTATTAGGTCCCCCCAGTCTTGCCCCTCTAAAATCGACTTTTTCATACAGTAGCCAAGTGATACTGTAATGATGTAAATCAGACTTTGTGTCATGCAAGTAGGCAACAAATTCCTTACCCTGGCTTACAAAACACTATAGGATCTGGCCTACCTACCTCTCCAGACTTACCTTGGTTTGAGAACATTGGTCATAATTCTAGATGGTATCAGATATGCTTCTGCTTCCGTATTTTGTATATATATTGTTTAGAATTCTTGTTCCTCCATTTCACTACAACTAGGGTCAAATTCTTCCTCCTTCCCTTTGAGGTCTTCCTTGGCTTTTATCTAAAAAATGGCCTCCCTCTCTCTGCCTGACTGGCGTGGTTCAGTGGTTGAGTGTCAACCTATGAATTAGGAGGTAGGTCATGGTTTGATTCCCAGTCAGGCACCTGTCCAGATTGAGGGCTTGATCCCCAGTGTGTGGCTTGTAGGAGGTAGCCAATCTCTTCATGGTGTTTCTATTCCTTTCTCCCTCTGAAATAAAAAAAATCTTTAAATAAAATACTGCCTCTCCTAGTTACTTTCACATCACCTCTTAAGTCTTCACAGAACTTTTAAGTATTTGAAATTATCTTTTTGTGGGTATAAACTTCTCTCTTGATTAGATTATGAGCTTCAGGAGAGCAGGGAACCTTGTCTGCTGCCCACTATTCTAGCCAGTGCCTAGAACAGTCTGAGGCACAGGTTAGAGACTTAGTGAATATTGATCAAATGAATGAATCTATTACAGATGCAGATTTGAGAGTCATTAAGATGAAAGTGGATATGATTAAAATAAGGCTGTCTATAATAGTGGTTCTTTACCCCAGCTGTATACTGGAATTAGTAAGTTTTTTAAGACAAGGATATCTGAGCTTCACTCCAAAATGATGAAGTTTTTTGTTTTTTTTTAATTTTTTACAGAGAGGAAGAGAGAGGGATAGAGAGAAACACTGATGAGAGAGAATCATCGATCAGCTGCCTCTTGCACCACCCCTACTGGGGATGTGCCCGCAACCAAGGTACATGCCCTTGACCGGAATCGAACCCAGGACCCTTCAGTCCACAGGCGGACACTATCCACTGAGCCAAACTGGTTTCGGCAAGGTTTTTTCTTTTTTTTAAGTTTTAATTCATTACTGTATTTTGAAGAAAAGTGCTGCTGAAAGTTATCTATACTTTGGGAAGCTTATGGTGAACATGTGATCAAGTAAATGGTGGTCCCTAGATTTCAAATGATCTGATTCCAAAGTCTAAACCTTTTTTTTCTCTTGAGGGTGGACATAATTTGTTGGATTGGTATGGCAGGTCCTACTGGCAAAGGGAAACTGAAGCCTCCAGTAAACAAGAAGGAACTAAAGCAGTTTGGAAGGATAAATAGGGCCTGTCAAAGAAATGGCTCTGAGGTAGGTAGAAAGTAGGCATAGGAGAAGAGAGAGCAGAGAGTATGGTTGGTCTTAACTATAGCCTAATTATCTCCATTGAGAGTGGTGGGGGGTTGGGCAAGTTAGTAAGAGGAAATAGTCCAAGAACCATGCTTACAGGATTTTCTCCAATTTTCTCTTCAACAGTTTTTCCTCTGCCCCCTTCTGGGGGCAGAAGCTCTACTCTAGCTCTGTTATTAAGTTTTGGTTATAGACAAGGGCTTGGTTTACGGAGGCAGGCCAGTCATCCAGAATAGTTGTGGTTCTGTCCTCCGTGTCCCTTCAACCCAGCGTGAGGAGATCTGTATTTCAGTGAAGCCCCTGATGAAGGGAACAGCATAGGTAGAGTGACATTTATTGAGGGTAAGAAGACATTTTCTCATGGGAGCCTGAGAAGCATCCTAAGGAAGTGAGGGCTAGGCCCCCAAAATTAACCTACGTATTTGGAGGTTTTGGCAAGGATCTAAAGCTGTTTCCTGATTTCTAGTGTCCAAGGCCCTGTGGCCTGTGACTTTGGTTTTAGTGGTTTAGAGGAACGGGGAGGGAAGGCAGAGGTGAGGTAACAGGCAGACCTTTTCTGGGCCCTCAACTTTTCCTGTTGGTCTGATGAGGTACTGGCCTTTGCAATAAACAGGGGGCTCAGCCGTGCAAGTCGAAAGTCTCGGATATTTAACTCTTCTAGCATCTCGTTCTCTGTTCTGAACCTTGTAGGCTCTTCCTTCTCTTTGGTCAGAGGTGACTCAGATACAAAGAAAATCTTATTTTTCAGCTTGTCTTCGATCCAGGGATCAATTGAGGCCAAAATAGTGAATGTTTCTTGTAGCTGCATTGAAATAAAGGCTCTGTGGCTGGCTCACTTCAGGCTAAGGCTGGGTGGGCTTGGGGGTGAGGGGTTACCCATGGGAGGGGGAGCTCTAGCCACTGGGCACTACGGCCCCAAGGAATGAGGTAAAGGGACGGTGTGTGAGGACTTCCTCCCCTCTCCTCCCTTCTGACAAAGCAAGTAGAGAGGATAGATGGGAAGGGCTCGGAGGAGGAGTTAGGAGAGGAAGAGGAGAGTAGGAATGCCTTACTCTCTTCTTTACAGACTGGTTGTTTTCTTTATCTAGCATTTCCAGGAGCAAGTGGAACACATGTGGGCTGCGGATCCCCAGGACGCCCTGGTAGAGGTAGAAGGAGAGTGCCTAAGTTATCAGCCCCAGGAAGATTCCCTTGTCAATTCTAATCCCATTGTGATGGCTCTGTGGCCTGGAGAGTGGGAAATAATGGCTTTCCAGCTGATGTATCCCCTTCCTTGCCTTTAGGGGACACTGCATTTGGTTCCATTGCACAGTATTCACCAGGAAGAGTTCAGGAAGTTTCTCTAATATCTAATTCTCTTTTACATCCATCTCTGTCCCTTATTCCTTAACCCACTGTCCTCTAATCCTGAAGAAAACGTTATTCTGAACTTCTGGTAGGGCTGGAATCTATATATATAAAATCCTAATATGCAAATAGATTGAGCAGTGGAACAACCAATAACCAGTTACTATGACGTGCGCTGACCACCAGGGGCAGCAGGGGCAAGAGCATGGCAGGATGGTGGGGCAGGTGAGTGGGGGTGTCAGACCTAGGCAGGATGCTGGTTGCTATCATGGGGTGAGCCTCTGGCGGTTACTGAAAACTCTTTGTTCCTGTGCACTGTGGTCCCACCTGGCATTTGCACCTGCTACTGGTGCCAGCCCCGCTTACACCTGGTGCCAGAGCCGCTGTTTGCACCTGCTGCCAGTGCCAGTTCTGATGGCTTAGGGCTGTCAGCGGGTGCGAGCAGCGAGCAGCGGGTGCGAGCAGTGAGCAGCGGCTGCTGGCCCTGATCGCCTCTGAGGGCTTTTCCTCCTCTCCCTGCTCCTGAAGGGCAATTGGGGCAGCAGCCACTGCTCACACCTGCTGACAGCACCGACCCTGCTTGCACTCGCTGCTGGTGCTGGTCCCAATTGCTCCACACTGTGAGTGGGTGCAAGCAGTGCCAGCGCTGTCAGTGCGTGGGAGCAGTGGCAGTGGGAGTGGGGCTGCAGACAAAAGGGTACAGGGGGCTGCAGCAGGAAGGGCCCGGTAGGGGAGCGGAGGATGGACCAAGACCCGCCCTTGTTCCCACTATAGCCTCCCGGCCCACAGTTCCTTTCAAGGTGCATGAATTCATGCACTGGGCCCCTAGTAGTAAAATAAACAAGTGAATACCCTGAACTTTACATCCTTTTTTCCCCTTTCAGTAACTGCTCAGTTGCCTATTGCCCTTGCCATCAACACCTCTGATCAAAGAAGCAAAACTGGCCTTACCAAAGAGATGACTGCTTCCTGGCGTGAAGCGGCTTGTGGGTTCATTAGTTGCCTGTGTAGAAGGGAGTAAGTGTGTTGTGGTTCAGTTAAGCAGGAAGGGAAGAAGGCTGATTGTTTCTTTTTACAGCCCAGAGTGAGTTGGGCATAAGGCTGACGAGTGATGCTAATTTCATTAAATTTTTCCTCGTTTCTTGGATCAGAAGAGGCTGGGAGGGGAAAAGGAGATACTGAGGAGGTGGTGAGTGACAAATATATCTGTTCAGAACTTTACCTTTTACAAGTCCCATTCATGTCCTCATCTTAATTTGAGCTTTATAGCAAACCTGACTGGGAGGTATAATTGGTTTCTTTTTACAGTAGAAGGAAAGTCCAGGGGTCAAAAAGTGACTTGGCCAGGAGCAAAGGCAAGGGAGAGCTGAGAACTGGCAGCAAGTTCTTAGCTCTCTCTGCTTCTCTGCCCCATTCCCACCTCCTAGGATTTGGCCCCAGCAGTTCCCAGTCTAAGCCACTCACTCCTCCACCAAGTTCATCATCATGGGCTTCATCTTGAGCTCTTCCACAGTTTCTGCCACAGCCTGCCTCATAGCCTGAAGAGATATTAAGATGGGACAAGAGGGAGAAGGAATGCTGGGGTGTACCCTTAAGAGCTCCACAAACCTTTGTTGAATGCTTAGTTTCTGGTGGGGGAAGCAGACAGGTAATTACATTACTGGGGTAAGTGTTACAACGGAGCGGAGGATAGGGTGCACATAGGAAGGTCTCCTAACAGTCTGGGCACCGGGAAGATTTCCTGGAGGAGGTGATGTCTTTTTTTTTAAATCAATCTTTATTGTTCATATTATTACAAAGGTTCCTCATTTCTTCCCCCCTCCACCAGGTTCCCACCCCACCCTTCTTCCCCTCCCCACCCATTGTCCTCATCCATAGGGGCACAGTTTATGTTCAGTCTCTTTATGTTCGCCCCCTCCGTCACTCCCCCTTTCCCCGAGAACAGTCAGTCCACTCCCCAACCAATTGCCGACTCTACTACAATGAATAGCTATTATTGTTCATCAGGTTTTTCAATCTCCTTTTTGTTGTTGTTGTTTTTTTAATTAATAAATTTTTACACTTCTAAGAATAAATTTTAAAATCTAATAATTTTAAACCTTGTTTTTTTTTCTGCCCTGGGAATTGAGAAGCAAACTTGTTTACATGTAAACTTGCCCTTAGGCTATCAAAAGGTGTAGCCATTCAAGTGTAAATAAATGGACACATTGTTTAAAGATAGCTGTTGGTTGGAATTGGATTACCAGTTCTGGGTGGGAAGGGCTTGTCATTCCCTTTCTCCATTAAAATTAAGGTGTTAGCTTTAAAACCTCTTTTGGCAAGAGACCTTAAACTTTCAGAACTTTAAATTTTTCAGATAGTAAATCAGTTATTTAGCATTTTCTCAAATCAATAATATCTCCACATGCCCAAAGATACACTTCACACAAAAGACATTTCCAAATATGATAGATCAACCAACCTCATCCAGGCCTCACACAAGGCACTAACAGATCAACACCCCAGCACTATACTAACTCAACACATCCAGATCTAAGCCTTCATCACTTGATTCAGTAGAACCTCAAGTTCCCCCAAAAGTTTCCAGCCATGTCTGAGAGGCAGCCTTGGGGCGGGGGCAGGCAAGGAGCAAGCTGTTCCGGGCCTGGCTGCTCTGGGCCTGGCTTCTGTTGCTCTGGTCTGTTCCACAACCAGATGCTCCAGGTCTGGCCACTGCCGCTCCCGGCCTGGCAGCTGCTGCTCTGGGCCTGGCCGCTCCCGACCCGGCTGCTCCGGGCCCGGCCGCTCCAGGCCTGGCAGCTGCTGCTCTGGGCCTGGCCGCACCCGACCCGGCTGCTCCGGGCCCGGCCGCTCCCGGCCTGGCAGCTGCTGTGAGGAGGTGATGTATTAACTGAAACCAGGCAGAGGGTTGGGGGAGGGTGATTTTCTAGGTGTGGGTGAAGGGGAGGACATGTCTAAAAGCCTGGAGGCAAGAGAGAGAGAGCACAGAGTGTTTAGAGAACAGAAAATAGTTCAGTTTATCAAGGTGACCACACTGTGACTCTTCAACATGAGACACTGAGTAGTTACACTGGGATCACAGGTATAAATCAGGGTAGGGTCATCCTAAGCATAGTTGGTATGTGCTTCTGAGGAGTTGAGTGTTTGAGGTGAAGTGGAGGCATCAGCGGGCTAGGTGGTGAAGGACGGTAAACCATTCTGAGGGCGGTGGGAGCTACTGAAAAGTTTTATGCACAGGTAAGGCACAGCCTGATGTACATTTTAGGAAAATGTCTTCAGATAAAAGTTGTGTGACCAGTTTTGTATAAGCTGTTGTAAAGGTAAAAACAATGGGACGTTGGAGGGCAGAGCTGATGCTCTTTGTGGTGATTTGGGAAAGCTTCCCATAGGAGGTGGTGCTTAGCCTAGGCTTGAAGGAGCTGTCGTCTTTGAGTAGGCAGAAGGAGACAGGAGTTACTTAGCAGAGGGGAGAGGGGCGACGGGCATTTTGAGCAAAGGCAAAGAGGCTTGAAAACGGGCTGCATTAGGGAAATGGAGTGGGTTAGAGTGAATGTGATTCTTTGGGGGGCGGTGTGGCGGGAACCAAGACGGGGGAGGTCTGAGAAGGGACAGAGACAGCTTTGGGCTGCTTGGGCTTTGGAGCTTTGGTCTCACTTACGAGGAAGGGTTCATTAAATATCTTCCTCCTGAGAAGCTCAAATGTGAGTCCCTCCAGTTCCTGTGCCTGGATCTGTTCCAGCCCGATGGTCTTGAGCATCTGGATGGCCTCAAAGCGGTGCTGAGGGCAGGGGTGGGGAGCCATGAAGGATAGACTCCCTCTCATCCATCCCCAACCCTGTCCCTAATGCTGGAGAAAGAAGGGTACTAGGCAGCCCTGGACTCACCTCAAGGACACAAGAATAGCACAGCTGGTCTAGGACGGCCCTGATGACCTCGGCTGAGTGTACATGCATCATCTTGACCAGCATCCTAAGTGACTATGGAGGGCAGGCAGGGTGGGTGGGGTTCAAGCAGGCCGACTTGAGGGCTGAGTCTAGAACTTGTGGTGGATAGGTGGGGCCCTGCCTCTTGAGTGTGCACACACATAAATGAATACAAATAAGATGTGCACAGACACGTGTATACGCCGGTCCACATGACCCCATACCCATGCATACACATTCACACACAGAGGACCTGCAGTTCTCCCTGCTGAAGCTACTTTACCCTGGGATGAGGATGACGGAAGTCAGCACTGGCCTGTTTCCCCGTCCTTCCCAGGGGTCCAGCCTCCTGCCCCACACACCTTCATCTTCTGGGACATGGGCCCGTGGCACAGGCACTGCAGCAAGAAGTCTCGGGCTGTGTTGCTGCAGGGTCTCAGGAAACCCAAACACAGGGCTGCCTCCGTGGCTGCTTCATTCGCTGACTTCCGCATCAGCATCCGCAGCACAGATGCCAGCATCCTTTCATCCCCGATTTGAGTCCTCTGAGAGGAGGGCAGGAGGTAAAATGGGCCTGCATTACGTTCTCAGCCAGCCTTTGTTAAGAGGGCAATTCTTTGCTGCTTCCAGACCATTCTCCCTAAAACGAATCTCATGTTATCAGATTATTTTGTCCACTTCTTGTTTTTGCTGTCATCGACTTGCCCCTAGGTCACATCCTATCATTTCTCTATGACTTCATCTTCTGAATGGATCAAGGTTACTCTCTTAACACTTTTGCTGTCTAATTCCCAGCATTTAAAAATATATACATGTCATTGATCCAGTTCCTCCCCTCCAATAATCTTGTACTCCAGTCTATGTCAGCTATTAATTCCCACAAAGACTTTATCATTACTTATTACTACAATTTCTGCATTTCATGGGTCCCATTCTGACCATTACTTCCTATCTTTCCAGCTCAACTTTTTTTTTTTTTTAAATATATTTTATTTATTTTTTACAGAGAGGAAGAGAAAGGGATAGAGAGTTAGAAACATCGATGAGAGAGAGAGATCGCTCAGCTGCCTCTTGCATACCCCCTACTGGGGATGTGCCCACAACCAAGGTACATGCCCTTGACCGGAATCGAACCTGGGACCTTTCAGTCCACAGGCCGACGCTCTATCCACTGAGCCAAACCAGTCTCAGCCCAGCTCAACTCTTGATGTTAACAGTTGGACTCCACAAGGACTAATCATCATTAAGCACCATTTCACTGCTCCTCACCTTCATCCCTCTTAAACCAGTTTAAATTCCATGGTTCTGCTATAATTACTTCCTGCCTCAACTACTTTACTTTATCTTGGTTCATTGTATTCAACTCTCTACTTGCTCTGTGCCTGTACTTCCTGGAGAAAAACACAGTCACAATGATTGATCTTGCTTTAGATGTATGAACACGAACCTCATGTAAATCCCTAATGCTGCCTACTGATCCTGCTTTTCTCCAGGCAATTCTCTTTCCCACCCTCTAGTTTAGGGGTGTCGAACTCAATCAGAGAAGGGGCCAAAATCTAAAATCCAGCCTAAATCACGGGCCGAATGGTTTACTGAACAGTCATAAACTGTCATTGTGATGGAAACGCAGTGGAGTGCAGTGATGACAGCGCGGTGCGGGCCACATTGCAAGGCCTGGCGGGACGGTTTTGGCCCGCGGGCCTTGTGTTTGACACATGTGCTCTAGTTCATACCCTTTCCTCTGGTACCTGTAATGCTTTCTTCCTCCATTCCCACTCAGCTAATGACCTTGCTTCCTACTTTATCGAGCAAGTATAAGTTCCACAGATACCACCACTTTTAATCCAACTTTCAACCTGCACCCATATGTTCTGCCTTTACACTTGTGCTGTAACCAAACCACCTTATCTCAAGTCAGTCTGCCCACCTGTGAGTTAGAGCTCATTTCTTCTCACTCACCTACTGAAGAACATTGCTGCACAACTCTTCTTACTCTCTTCAAATTGAGCAGTTTTCTAACTACTGAATTATTATCCCTCAGACTAGGATCATGTTATTTTTCTTTTTCTGGAATCCACTCCTGGTGCCAACTACAACCCTTTCCAGCAAAACTTGGAAAGTGGTCTGTTCTTGTTGTACACAGGGGGGCAAAAGTAGGTTGAAACTGGTAAGAAGTTATTCCAGTGCTTCTATTCAGGAAACTCCACAGGACAATGCCTTCCCATCAAAATCAGGAGGTAGGTTACCTTCTCCCTGACCTAACCCCCAGCCAACACCATCAATTACCTGCCCTACCTTGCCTCAATTACCGATCTCCTCCCAATCACCTTGTCTTTGGGAATAGCAGTCCAGAAGTTCAGAGCTACTCGTAGTCCCCTCAGAGTATCCATCCTTTGCTCCTCATTTGGCCCCTTCAACTGCTTGATGAGAGCCTGGATCACATCCTTATTCAAGCAACCTAGACAGGGAGGGTCCTGAGGTCAGGGCAGAGCCTTGGGCTGCTCCTCTCCGCCAGGACCCATTGGACTCCACTCTGCCCTCAAGACATAAATTCCAAGCACTAGGTTCCAAGATGTTGCCCGTCTTCCAGGACACCAGAGCAGCTGGCTGAGCACAAACACAATTCCAGTCTCCCTTTCCAGGTCACCTCTCTTTCTCTGCCCAACAGTACCTCGGAGAGTTCCCAGTCACCGCCCAGTGCTAGGTTAGTACAGGCATATACTGCACTACCCTTCTGTCCTTACCCAGATGGGAGAGTCGTTTCGCTGCCTCCTGTCTCACCTCTCTCAACTCCCCAGCCAGGGAGAGGATATACTTACCCAGGATGGCCAGGCTTCTATAGGCCTCATACTTCACTCTCTCTGGAGCAGTTTCGACCTGATTTAAGAGGCAGGCGGTGGAAACATGCTATAAGGTGATGGGATGTGAGAGCTTTAAGAATCTCAGCTTAAAAAAAAATAAAAACCTCAGCTTAATCTCATTGTATAAACGAGGAAACTGAGGCCTAGAGAGCAACCTGTTTGTACTCAAACACAGAGTACAGCCAGAAAGGTGCAATGGAAGGAACGCAACTTGGAGGAAGACTTGTTCAAATACCTATCTGAGATCTAATCTAGTTGCCATGTGGCCTGGGGCAAGTCGCTTGGCCTCTCCGAGTTTCCATTTTCTCATTAGGAAAAATGCAGATACTACCACCTAGTATTGTAAAGTTTAAATGAGATTAATGTAGAAGGATGCACGCACTCCATAATAAATGGGCATATAAATAGGAGGCATTGATTTAGTCGAGAGAATGAATTCGGTCTCAATTCTCTCCTAGTTTTTCAGTTGAGTGTCTTCTTAGACAAAAGGGCTCTTCAGATCCCACCTCCCCCATCCTTTTAGATTTAGATCAAGCTGCCCTTTAAAGGGCATGAGCGGGCATATGCTGCACCCTAGTGGCTCTTTGCTAGATCTGACGCACCACCTTGTGAGCCTTGTCTGTGCCCATGTTCTACACACCTCATGCCCTGCTCCCTCCTCTCCTGAACTCGGTGCAGCCCCAGACTTACCACCTGCAGTAGTGCCTCTATGATAGATTCATCACTGATGCCCAGGCACCCCAGAGCCTGCAGGAAGAGGAGCAGAGGACAGGGAAGAGACCTTGGATAGCACCCCAGCAGTTACCATTCTCTGTACACAGCTGGATTTGGTTCTTGGAACAGCACCCAATCCCCACCTCAAGCATCTTTCTCCTCTCCAAGTCAGCCCCCCCTCCCTTGCAATTTCTCACCTGTGCTGCGTAGTATTGCTCATCCTCTCTGGGAGATTTCAGGCTTTTTGTGAGTTCCTGCCTTTCCAAAGGAGCCAGTGGAAAGGAGGAAAGGAATAAATATAGTTTTAAAACTTCAAACTGAAAGAAGCTCATTCAATTCAATCCCCTTTCACCCTTGTCCTCCATTATGGAATTGAGGGCTGAAGGATGGTGTGAGCTCAAGGTAAGGGCATCCACAGGAAGGGAGTCTCTCCATCCTCCCTCCCACCATGGTCCCTGACCTTTAATCTTCGCCGCTTAAAGGAGTCCTTCGTAGGGTGTAAAGTCTTGGGTACCTTCTGATATTTTGTAGTCAACTTGACCATGGGGAGATAGACTTTTTGGATGGGACTACCCTCTCTGAAGTGGTATCTGTGTGAGAGATTACACAGGCAGCCTTGGTCCCCTTGTTTCCTCCCCACTTCACAAATTTTCCTCTGCCCCTGGTTCTCAGCCCAGCTTAGAGATGGGACCAGAGGAAGACAGATGAGCCTCCTTCTATGCTGGAAAACAAATCAGTTTCACTAAAACAGAGATGTTGACAGAAAGCCAGGAAGGCTGGTCAACAACCTTAATTGTTCTAATCTTTAGTTGAGATATTGTTAGCTGAAGCAACCTCCACCTTGTTTGTCCTGTGTAATTTTCTGTTATTTCCTGCCTGAGGGTTACATGTATATTTCTGTTTATGTTGCCTAAAATGTTTTCCCCAAAGCTTCAATAAAAGGGGTCAGAGCAGGAGTAGTTCTCCCACTAGAGTAGGACTACCACCGGGCCCCCATATCACCAAGTTGAATTTCTTCAAGTCTCAAGTATCTTCATTTGTGTGCGGCCCTTCTCCAGAACCTGAACACTGAATTGCAACTCTTTCTACGCAGGCCGTGAAAGAGATTCCTATACTTCTATCCCGAGATCTTCTCTGGGATCTATAGGCTGACTTGCTCGACTCCCCGTCCCCCCCCCCTCCCCCTTTTATTCTCTCTCCTCGAAGTTGCACATGGTGTGGAGAATAGCAGTAAATCACACCTAGGTAGATCTCTCATTTTCTGCAACATTTTCTGGGCCAACCGTTCCTGTTGATGATCATACAGGGCGTGCCAGTGTGTGTACAGCTCAGGCTTCTCAGAGTAGCAGTATGGTGCCGAGTCTGGCTTGGCTGGGTGCTGCCTCCAGCACTCTGGACTTGGGGGGAACTCTTCCTTTGGTATCTGGGAGAACAGGGTGGATGGCAGAGCAGTTGCAGATTTAGTAAATAGCAATCAAATAACAGGATATTCAGTTAAACTTGGATTTCAGGTAATGAATGCTATATACTGTATACATATGTGTGTGTGTGTGTGTGTGTGTGTGTGTGTGTGTGTACTAGTACAGTGATTGGCGAGCCACATGTGGCTCTTTGGTCCCTTGAGTGTGGCTATTCCACAAAATACCACGTGCAGGCACGCATGTACAGTGTGATTGAAACTTTGTGGCCCATGCGCAGAAGTCAGTTTTCGGCCTGGGTGAGTCCATTTTGAAGGAATGGCATTAGAACACTCAAGGGGCCAAAGAGCCGCATATGGCTTGAGAGTCGTGGTTTGCCAACCACTGCACTAATATATACACAAGAGGCTCGGTGCATGAAATTTGTGCACTCGGGGTCGGGGGGCAGGTCCCTCAGCCTGGACTGCGAGAGGGTACAGGCCAGGCCAAGAAACCCCACTGGTGCACTATTGGGGCCGAGGAGGGATGTGGGAGGTTGGCCAGCCCAGAAGGAACTGCAGCCCATCTTGCTCAGTCCCAGTCAGCTGAACCCCAGCAGCAAGCTAACCTATCTGTTGGAGTGTCCCCCCACCCCGGATGGTCAGGGCAAATCATAGTGAATGGTTGAATAACCTTTGAATATCATTAGCATATTATGCTTTGATTGGTTGAATGGCTGACCGGTTGGCCAGGCACTTAGCATATTAGGCTTTTATTATATAGGATATATACTGTGTATGTATGTATGCCTGTGTGTAGTATACACACACATATATATACATATGCACACATGCATACATATGTATATACACATACATGTACACACACACATATCCTAGTATATATACACATACATACACTAGAGGCCCAGTGTGAGTAGCTCACTTCCACTTGCCTCAGCTGGCCGCCCCACTTATAACTTGCACTCCACCTCCACTGCTCATAGCTCTCTGAGTAGCTCGCGCCCCGCCTGGCCCACCTCGAGAGCTGCTGCTTATTTGGTTGTTACGGTGTTAGGACCACTGGCTTTTTTATATATAGATACACACACACACACACACACACACACACACACACACACATATTTCATTGTTTATGTGAAATTCAAATTTAATCGAGTGTTCAGTGTTTTAAAATGAGGATCTCTGTATTAATTAATAAAAATGACTCATCATTCAGCACTGATTACATAGCCCAGGCCTGGCAGATGGTTCCTCACAACAGTTCCACGAAGGATGCTGGGAAAGGGTTGGCCTGTGACAGAGGAGGCTTCTGAGGCTTATAGAAGGAAAGTGATGTATCCAGGAATTACTGACAAATTCTTCTCTGCCCTCAGTTACTCAGCCTAGTTCAGAGATGGGACCAGAGGAAGTTCTCAACCTTGGCTGTGTATTGGAATTATTCAAGGGAACTTTTAACAAGCCCAAGGGTGAGTGTTGGGGTTCTGTGAACCAACTTCAATGGGAAGGGAAGGTCTGTTGCTCCTCCTATTCAACAGAGCTCCCTGGGTGGCAAAAGTTAGGGGTCTTACCTTGTGGCAGGACAAAGGGAGCCAAACAGGTACTGAGGCCTTTTTGAGTTCTGTGGTACAAATAAGACAGCAGTCACAAAGGTGGGTAAAGATATCGTCCCTTCAGGCATTCACTTATTCAGCATTTAGTGAACAGGAGGAGTACCAGGCACCAGGGAGGTATCAATAAATAAGGTGTTATTCCTGTCCTCAAGGAGCTCATGGTTTAACTTGCTGCTCAAAATGTGGTTTGTGGAACAGTAGGATTGCCAAAGCCTGGGAGATTCTCAGAAACGCAGTGTCTCAGGCTCCACTCCAGGCCTCACCAACAAGGATCTCCATTTTAACAAGTTTTATATGTACTTTGAAGTTTGAAAAACTCTGGTCTAGCAGAGTGGTTCTCAACCTGGCTGTGTATTGGAATTATTTGAGGAGACTTTTAGCATGCCTTGGCCCTACATAGGACTAATACAATCAGGACAGATTCTCTGAGGAAGGGGCCCAGGTACCCTGTTTCCCCGAAAATAAGACAGTGCCTTATATTAATTTTTGCTCCCAAAGATGTGCTAGGTCTTATTTTCAGGGGATGTCTTATTTTTCCATGAAGAAGAATACGGTACACATTTATTGTTAAATGAAAATAAAGGAAATTTATTACCTGTATACGGTACGGTAGTACGGTAGTTGTCAACACTAACCAGACAAACTGTGAATCCTACAGTATCAATAATTTACTCATTTATTCAATGACAATCATGTCATCATTTTCTGGAACATCATCATAACAATCCAATTCCTGAATTTCCTGGTGAATTTCTTGTGACTCCATTTCTTTCAGAATCAGTGGACCAAATCTCTCATGTTTAGCAATAGCATTCTGAGACAGAGCCTAGAGGGGGCCTTATTTTTGGGGGGATGCCTTACTCAGAAGAAAACCTGTAAGTAGGTCTTATTTTCGGAGGATGTCTTATTTTCGGGGAAACACGGTAGTAGAGAAAACTCCCCAGAGGATTCTAATGTGCAGCTAATGGTGAAAACCATTGGTTCTGGCCAGTGTTTTTCAAACTTGAGTGTGCATCAGAATCACCTGGAGAGTTTATTAGAGCAATTCCCAAACTTTTCTCATCATGAGAATCACCTAGTGGAGTTAAAATGCAGATTCCTGAATCCCAACTAAGAAGTGCTAAACTAGAATTTTTGGGAACATATAGGTAAAATTGTATACTTAACTAGTGCTCTAAGCCTTAGAGTCTAAGCCAGTGTTTCCCAACCTTCTCTCATGATGAGAATCACCTGGTGGAGTTGTTAAAACACAGATTCCTGAATCCCAACTAAGAAGTGCTAAACTAGAATTTTTGAGAACATATAGGTAAAATTGCATACCTAACTTAGTGCTCTGTATATAAAATCTGTCTTAGAGCACTAGTTAAGTATACAATTTTACCTATATGTTCCCAAAAATTCTAGTTTAGCACTTCTTAGTTGGGATCCGGGAATCTGTGGTTTAACAACTCCACCAGGTGATTCTCATCGTGAGAGAAGTTTGGGAAACACTGCCCTAGAGATGGATTCAGCCCGAGAATTTGCATTTCTAATGAGATGCTGATGCTGCTGGTCCTGGGGCGCACTTTGAGAGCCATTGGACCAGCCGGTGAGACACAAAGGGAAACAAATGTGAAGACAGATGAGAGCACAGGTGGTACAGAGGAGGGACCCTTAACCTGGCTCGGTACTTGTTTACCCAGAGACTCTGCACAAGCTGAGTCTTCAGTCCAAGTAGGAGTTAGCCAGATGGATAAGGGGAGGAACATTAGGCTCGGGGAACAAGGTATGCAAAGACTTGCAGGTGTGAGTGTTAGGTAGAGAGCCAGGGTGCAGATGTAGGAGCAGACCCTGGGAAACACAAGATGTCCTACTTAAGACCCTGGAGACTTACCTTGCCAGCTGCGGGGAGCCATCCAAGTGTCCGTGGGCTTTCCCTGACCCACTCCATGGATTTGCTGAACTCTCCCAGACCCCCGCCTGGGAGGGGAGCCAGGGGGCTTTCCTTTTCAGGCCCTGGCCCCTGATTCTGTCCCTCTCCACCCCAGCCTCACCTTTGGTCCTGTTTGGATATTCCAGCCATGGATACTCGAGCATTGATCTGGCGATTTCAAAGAAATTGACTGATTTTTCGTAGGCCATCTTTTTATTCTCCTGGTGGGGCTAGAGGGCAGGGTGGTGGTGGTAGGAGAATACGGGGCCTTTGGGGATGTGGAGACACAGGTCCGGGAGACCTGTTTTCTGCACAAGAGGAACTAATGAGATGTCTGGGCTTCTGGAAATGGAAGCTTCCAAACACTAAGCAACCAGGTGTCCTAGGTAACCAGAATGCTCCAGTTCCATTCGTGTTTTTTTTTTTGTGTGTTTTTTGTGTGTGTTTTTTTTTTTTTTTTTTTTTTTAAAATTTCTTTATTGGTTACGGCATTAGTGTTTCCCAAAGTGTGGTATGCGTACCCCCAGGGGTACGGGAAGAGTTTGGTGGGGGTACGCGTTGCACCGGAGTTTGGTGGGGACGAGGGGTACTCAGCGTTATGAAAATTATAGAAGGGGTACACATATGTCAAAAGTTTGGGAAACACCATACTATGGTTTCACAAAATTGTCCTCATCCTCCTATTCCCATCCCAAACCTCTCCCCACGCATGCCCCCACCTCTCTGTTGTCCATGACCACTAGTTAGGTTTATATGCATGCATACAAATCCTTTGGTTGATCTCTCCCCCTTTCCTCCACCCTCTCCTGCCTTCCCTCTGAGGTTTGACAGTCTGATCGATGCTTCTTTGTCACCGGGTCTGTTTTTGTTCTTCAGCTTATGTTGTTCATTATTTCCCTTAGATGCGTGAGATCATGTGATACAAGAAATACACTTATAAGAACCGAAAATGAGAGAAGCCCATAATGGTTACTTGCTGAGAGGCAAATGAGTCAGTCTGTAGTGAGTTTCTTTCTGAGCCAACAGTTCTTTTGAGACTCAATTTCAATGTGGAACATTTCCTTATGTGTACATGTCAGCAATGATACTTTAGTTCTACAATAGGTGGTGGACAAATGGTAGTGATGCAGGTCAGACCATCTCTGGTTTTCCAGTTCCATTCTTTAAAAAAAAAAAAATTATTGCCGAAACCGGTTGGCTCAGTGGATGGAGCGTTGGCCTGCGGACTGAAAGGTCCTGGGTTCGATTCCGGTCAAGGGCATGTATCTTGGTTGCTGGCACATCCCCAGTAGGGGGTGTGCAAAAGGCAGCTGATCGATGATTCTCTCTCATCGATGTTTCTAACTCTCTATCTCTCTCAATTCCTCTCTGTAAAAAAATCAATAAAATATATTAAAAAAATAAAAAAATAAAAAAAAATTATTGATTGATTTTGAGAGAGAGAGGGAAAGGGAGAAAGAGATACATCGATGTGTTGTTCCACTTACTAGTATTTATGCATTCATTGGTTGGCTCTGGTGTGTGTCCTGACTGGGGATTGAACCTGCAGTCTTGCACAGCGGGACAATGCTCCAACAAAGCCAGGGCTCCAGCTCCCTTCTTTAGCCCAGCCCCGGCATCTACTGGCGAATGCATTGAGCTAGTCATTTTACCTCTGGGAACTTCAGTATCCCCATCTAAAAAGCAGGAAAGTCAGGCCTGTCAGCTAACTAGAAGGGTTATGGTGAGGCATAAATTTAAAGAGAGAGTCAAAGGGTTTGGTGAAGTGTCAGACTCACATAAATCGGTTAGGAGCAGGGGTTTTTCTTAGGATTACTCATCAGGAAAATGGCAGGGATGGGAAAGCCCCTCGTAAACACACACCTCCCTCCTGGGTAGCAAGAGACTGAACTGAGTGTAGACTAAGACCATTCATACCCCTACTTCTGCATATGCTGTTTCCTCTACTTGTCAGACCTTTCATTTTATTTTTAAAATGTTTTTCATTTTAAACAGTTTTTCAAATCTTTTAAACTCTACTTAAAAGTTATCTTAATATATATATATATATATATATATATATATATATATTTCATATATATATATTGATTTCAGAAAGGGAGGGATAGAAACATTAATACTAAGAGAACCATTGATTGTCTGCCTCCCGAATGCCCCACACTGGGAACCGAGCCCACAACCCAGGCACATGCCCCCGACTGGAATCAAACCGGTCTGCAGGCCGACCCGCAGTCTGCAGGCCGACACTCTATCCACTGAGCCAAACCACTAAGGCTTAAGTGTTATCTCTTAAAGTCTCCTTTCTCCCTGAGGCACGCTTCCTCACCCCATTTAGGTGTAATCCTTCCTACCCCACAATGTGACCACAACCTTCTGTAGCGGTGCTTCCCTTCAAAGGCTTTGTCTTCTGTTTCATCTGTTCCTGGGTCTTTCCATCTTCCTCACTAGGCTGTGAGCTACCTATCAGTACAGACTGTGGCTGGTAGCTCTTTCACCCCTCTTTTCTGCCCCTGACCCCCACCCCCAATGCCTAGCACGGTGCTTGGCACACAGCAGGCAGCTCACTGTAGCAGGAGAACATGGGCCACCGCACCGTCAGACTTGACATCACTAGGTAACTGACATCGTGTGCCTGATGTGCTGCACTGAGAAAGACAGCATCATCCTGGTAATCTGGCCAAAAACGAAACCTGAGTTTAATTAGGGGGAGACAATTAGGCAAATTCAAATGAAATATTCTACAAAAATCTTACCTGAACTTTCCCAAAATGTCAATATTCTTAAAGACAGAGAAAGTCTGGAAAAGGACACTGAAAAGGCAAGGCAGCTAAATTCAGTATTTGGACACAACTGTATCCTAGATTTTAAAAAATAGCATGGGCTTTGACATCAGACCTCATGGGTTTAAATGTTCCTCCTCCCCCCCTTTTAAATTTTATTTCTTTTACTTTGGGGCTTTGGGCAAGTTATTTCCATCTCTTACCAAGGATTTTCCCAACTGCAAACAGGGTTAATAATACTGCCTCCCCCATTGGGTTGTGGGAATGAGGGATGATGAATGTAAGGGGCTGGCAACGCCCAGCACACAGTGAGCGCTCAACGATGCCCGCTATAACTACAAAGATATATAGTGTCAATATGTGTTCACATGAAGGGGCACATAGATGGGAAAGTTGGAGGACCCCCCACCTCTTTACTTACTCCCTTTATTTGAAAGAGCTGAGGTGGTGGGATTGCCATTAAAATTGCTATTCCAGGAGCAAGAGTGTAGAGGACCCTTCACTGGGGATGAGGACTAGGGTAGACCAGGTAGAAGAGGAAGGTCTGAGGAAATGGAGGAGCTGTGGCAGGGAGTGAAATAAATCCTTGGGGACTTGGGGTTGGGATGTAGTGACTCTAGTTTCCCCCTGGGGTAGATAAGCCACTCGTTACTTTACCTGCTCTGTCCTGCCCAGGCCCCTTCTCAGAGAGCTTATGCTCCCCAGCCCTGCTCACTGTGCAAGGCATCACCCCCAAATCTAGGGAGGACACCAGATGTGTGCACCCCTGCGTGTTTAATACTCATGAGGAAGGAGGGTCCCCTGGGGAGGAAATCATGCCAGGAGCCAGCTTGGTAATTGTCTTGGAAATTTTATTAGAAAGCTGGTTTCTCACTTTTGAGTGAGCCTATCCTAGTGAGGGGGTGAGATTGGAGCTCTGGCCGTGGGACATTACCATAGAAGCCCAGTGTGTCCCCTTCTTCGCCTCCAGAGGCAAGCTGGCCAGAGGCACGCTGACTTCCTTCCTGACTGCAGAGCCGTAGCCTGAGCTGAGGCGCCTGCAGATCCAAGGCCAGAGATTTTCTGGGCACAGCGCAGAGCCCCAGGAGCTCCTGGGGGCTTTGGTGGGGAGGCTTTTATAACTGCCACTGCGTGGTGGAGTCAGGGCCTCCAAGGAGGGTGAGAGCCGGGGATTGGGGAGAAGCAGTAAGAAAGTTGCACAAGTTCTGGGTTCGAGGCGCCTTTCATCTTCTAGCTCATCTCCAAAGCGTTGATAATCTCCCGCACCCATCTCTTCTCTGGATTGGCACACACCTGACGGTTCTTTCGGGTGATTAAGCTGTGGGAGAGGAGAGGAGAGAGAGACACGTGGTCAGCGCTGGGACAGCCAGTTTTAGGAATGACGGATTGGGGCACAAGAGGAGATGATGAAGGTACTGGGTGGGTCCGTTTTGGAGCTCCATAAGATTTTATCTGTGGCTTTCCTTTCCTGGTGATTCAAAAGGGCTCCAAGCCAGAAGCAGAGTTGTGTGCATTGTAATTCTCACACACAAGTGTGCCACCTGGAGAGAAAAGGGGATATAAGCTGGTCAGCCACTAGCCTTTCCTCAGCACTTTCTCTGTTTCGGACCCAGTGCTGGGTGCACCGGATGCAGAGAAAAGGAGGGGTTCTCTGGGAACTGGGTCAGGGCTGAGCAAGAGGGAGACCAGAGGTGGTAAAACAAATCTTTGAGGGGCCTGGACATTAGTATCTTTTCAGATGATTAGAGTGTTACCCAAGGTTATGAGCTCTGATATAGAGGAAGGAGCTATAAATGTTGGACTGGATTAATTATACGAGATCCACTTACTCATTCCCTAACTATGCCCCTTGAAAGGGCCCTGAACAACATAAGGGGACCTAGAGTAGTGATCGCCAAACTTCGGCTCCTGAGCCACATGCTGTTCTTTGGCCCCTTGGGTGTGGCTCTTCCACAAAATACCACGTGGGGGCACACACGTACAGTGCAATTGAAACTTCGTGGCCCATTCGCAGAAGTCGGTTTTCAGCGAATCTATTTTGAAGAAGTGGTGTTAGAACACTCAAGGGGCCAAAAAGCCACATGTGGCTGGTGAGCCATGGTTTGCTGACCACTGATCTAGAGGGTATATGCTAAGTGAAATAAGTCAGACAAAAAAGGACAAATACTTTATGATTTCACTTACACATGGAATCTAAAAATACCCCAAAGTAAGCGAACTATCAAAACAGAAACAAACTCATAGGTGCAGAAGACAAATTGATGGTCCCAGATGAGAGAGGGGTTGGGGGCTGGGGGACAGGTGAAGGGATTAAGAAGTATGAATTGGGGCCGGCCAGTGTCGCTCAGTGGTTGAGCACCGACCAGCAGGTCATGGTCTGATTCCCAGTCAGGCCATATGCCCTGGTGGCAGGCTTGTTCCCCAGTGTGGGGTGTGTAGGAGGGAGCTGATCAATGATTCTCTCTCATCATTGATGTTTCTATCTCTGTCTTCTCCCTTCCTCTCTAAAAGCAATTAAAAAAAATATTTTAAAAAGGAGGTATGAATTGGCAGATACAAAAATAGTCACAGGGATATAAAGTCCAGCATAGAGCATATAGTCAATTACCTACCTAATAAAAGAGTAACATGATAATTGACTGTACTTTCGTGATGCCCACCAGCCAATCAGGAGTGAGTATGCAAATTAATGCAACAAAGATGGTGGGTTAATTTGCATACGCAGGCACAGAGCAGCTGGGGACAGGGTGGGACACTGCCATGGCGAGGATGCAGGTGTTCCGCACCACCTCACCCCTCCGGGCCTCTGGGCAACATCGGAAGGCGGAAAGGGAAAGGAAAGGTGACTCTGGCCAGAGCTAAGGTGGTGCTGGCAGCCAGGGAAAGGAAGGTCCATTCTTGCATGAATCTTCGTGCATCAGGCTTCTCGTGTTGTAATAATTATGTACAGTACCAGATGGGGACTAGACTTACTTGGGGGGCAGGTGTCACTTCATAAGTTATATCAATGTCTAACCATATGATGTATACCTGAAACTAATATAATATTGAATGTCAATTCTAATTGAAAAATAAAAAAAAAACACACGCTTTCAAAAAAAACCCCATATAATTTTGCTTTAGATAATACAGTGCCTGGTGCAGGGCAGACACTCAACAAATCTGCATGTGTGGGTGAATGAGGGGAGGACATAAACTGGAGTCTTGATTTCACCACTTACTAGTTGGATTACCTTTGGCAAATCATCACAACCATCTCTCTGCCACTCCAGTGGGCAGAGAAGAGAAAGGGAGCAGAAGCCATATTCTGGGCTCTTGTACCTCCTAGTGTTTGTTTTCTTATTTGGGTTGGTAAGAGAGCTTCAGACGCAGACCCCGCTGTTGTTAAGCTGGGTGTCATACAGGAAATCCTGCTGGCTTACCACATCTGCTCTCCTCTGCCCCCTTAGCCTGTGGCCAGCAAGTCAAAAGGCCAGGAAACATCTGGGGTCAGCATCGCTCAGGCCCCTATTTCCTCCTCCTCCCTGTAGAATGGGACACTGGAGCGCAGCCCCTCCTCGCCAAGCCTTCTCTCCCTCCCCCCATATTGCGGACCTTCCACTTGCCTGACTTCCCACCTCCCTCTTTTCCTGCCCCGACTCGTGGGAGCCTCCACTCTCTGTCCCTTGAGAATTAGTCCCAGTTGCTGCCTTTCTGTTCTGTGTGCTCTCCCAAGCCTCTGGCCCTGGGTCTAGATAATGCATGTAAGACATTTGACACACAGTAGGCACTTCCTAGGTAGTAGAGATTATTAGATTTTTTCCCCCCAAATGTATTAGCTTGCCGATTTAGAATCTCATTTTATTATTTCTACACCAAACAGTCAAGTTGTGTGTTTTTTACACAAGTGACTACAACTAGGACCCTGCCTTCTGACCTCTCCTTAGTTCCTCTGAGGTGGATTTGATAGGTTGTGGGATGTGGGCAACTGTGAAGTTCTTAACTGGAAAGTGATGACCAACCAAGTTGATCTCCATGTAAGATCATTGCAGATGATGTTCAAGTAAAAGTCACATCTGTAAAGATCAGAGACTAACCTAGAGCATCAGGGTGGGGAAGATCCTCCAAGAGCACCCTGTCTGATCCTTTTCATGATAGCTGGGGAATCTGAAGCTGGAGGTGGAGGAGCCATGGCTATTTGAGCAGCTAGAGGATGGGCTGCAGTGGATGGGGCACCCACTACAGAGCTCCTGGGGGGATAGGATCTGCACCCCTCTGGAGGGTTCCATGGGACTGAAACTCACACGACTGCTGGCATGGAGCACTTGCTGCTGGTGTAGAAATACTCCTGGAGGTGGGCACGGGGCAGTGGGCGGGAGATGTAGGCAAAGCAGCAGGGTGTGGTGTCCGAGGCATCTGGGAGAAGGAAGGAAGAGACCCTTGTTTTCATTGCCAGTGCACACTGGGTGCTTTATATGATTTATCTTAAATGGTTATTATCCTCCTTTGGCTGAAACTGAGGCTCGGAGAGGTAAAGTCACTTTGCCATGGACACACAGTGACAGAGTGATATTCCAACAGAGGACTGAGAGGCTCTCCCCAACCCCTCACCTAATCCTTGTGCCTCACTTGTATTCTTCTCTCTGCACCGTTACCCTCATGCCTTTGGCTCTCGGGACGCGCTTGGCCTCCTCCTGACTTGGGCCCTCTGCCCTTATCTTATCCTCCTAGGATCCTCAATGGATTCAGATCTTGGTTTCTTTGAGACCAAGGGTGGGCTGGGGAGAGGCTTCCAAAACTCAGATTGGAGACGCATAGATGCAGGAGCCATGGCTGAGGCATTGTAAGAAGGGCCGTAACAGAGAAGGAGTTTTTGTTGGTCAATTAATTCAGACTGACCCTGGGAAATGTCAGTTGCTATTCTCCAGCAGAGCAGGAGTGTTTAAGAGCCAAATAGAACTGAGTTTGAATATCTGAGCCCCCACTTCCTAGCTGTGTGAACCTGGCCAGTTACTTAACCTCTCTGGGCCTCCCTCTGTTTCCCCATCTGTAAATCAGTTACTGAAAGAATAGTTGTGAGCCCAGCTGGTGTGGCTCAGTGGTTGAGCATCCATCTGTGAACCAGGAGTTCATGGTTTGATTTCCAGTAAGGGCTCATGCCTGGGTTGCAGACTCAATTCCCAGTGTGGGGTGTACAGGAGGCAGTTGATCAATTATTCTCTCTCATCATTGATGTCTCTGTCTCCCTCTGCCTTCCTCTCTGAAGTCAATAAAAATATATTTTTAAAAAGAATAGTTGTATTAAGACAATATATGTAAAGCAATCAGCATAATAGTTGACACATAGTAGGTATTTAATTAGCTTTCACTATTCTTCCTCAAGCCCCATTTTATCATATCTATGAAACGGGGGGGAAATATGACTGTCTCAGGAGGGTTTTAGTTACATGCTTTTAAGTTTCTTAGTAACCTTGCTGCTGTTGGGCAGTCATGAGTCATGTTTTTAGTCAGCTTCAGCTGCCCCTGCCTACTAATACCCCCAGCAACAGTCCACACTCAGTGATTGCCTGCAAGCTTGGGGTGTAGACCCTGAAAATACAGAAACGCCGAACGGAGGGTCCCTGCCATGAAGTGGCTCACGGATCCATCAGGAGCCGCTGGGCATCAGAGAAAAGCAATAAGTAAGCATGTAAATCATAGGGTCCAGACAGTATAAGTGCAAGGTGGGGGCTAGCCTGAGGGCGACTCAGGTGGTCAGGACTGGGACTTACATGGGGAGGCCGATGCAGGAGCGCAGAAGGCGGCTGCGGTGAGGAGGAGAGCGAGGGCAGCTGCGTTGACCTCCATGGTACCTGTGGGTGGAGGCTGTGGGAGATCCTGTGCTGTCTTAGGATCCTTTGCAGGGATTCTCTGCAGCTCCGGCTGGCGCTTTATAACAGTCGGCCAGTAGAGGGGGTGCCCCCCAGGGGAGTTTCCAAAATAGTAGCCAGGCATTCATTGGCTGACATCCTACGTGAAACTGCATTAAACAGAAAAGAAAACTGAAATAGCCTCCGGAAATTTGAAGCTGTAGCTTTCCCTCTCCTTCTCTGTTTCTCTCCTCTCTCCTTCTCCCTTACTCTGTCCTTTCCCTTCTCCCCCGCCTCTCCCCCCCCTCCCCCCCTGCTTCTTCCTCTTCTCACCAACCTCAGATCCAAAGTGAGCTCATTGGTCTCCCCTTTGCCCTCAAGCAGGGCTAGCACAAGCGCTGGGGATAGGAAACCCTGGGGCTAGCCTGAGGTGGCATCTCAGCTTCACCTTCCAGGGCTGGGTTCCCCCAGAGGTCAGTCAGGAGGCTGCTTCCCTAAGGGCGGGAGGAGGGTGGTTAGGACAGGGGTCCGAAACAACTGGGCGTTTATTAGGTTCTTTCAAAGGTCTGTGTCTTCTCTCATCCATGGAAGGATGTTATTTATGATATGAGATGTTTTATTGAGAATGGGAGGGGTGGTGATAGAGGCAGTGGATCAGAACTGGGCATTGGCGACCTTTTCATCAGATATGAGTTGGAGTGGGTAATGGCTGCAGGGTCACCGCCATTTACTTGTCGAGTGGTCCTTAGGAAATTTGCTTACTGTCTTTAAGCTTACAAGCCTATTAAAGAAAGGGGGGGGAGGAGAGAGAGAGAGAGAGAGAGACAGAGAGAGAGACAGAGAGAGAATTAGCCATTAACTGAAGGCTTATTCTTTGCTAATCACTATTCTAAGGGTTTCACATGTGTCAACTCATTTGCTATTATTATCCCCATGTTCCAGTTTTTCAAGATGAGGATCAGTAAATGCTGATTTAAAATCCATTTCATTTCTATTTTTAAAACAAATATTTTTATTGATTTCAGAGAGGAAGGGAGAGGGAGAGAGAGATGGAAACATCAGTGATGAAAGAGAATCGTTGATTGGCTGCCTCCTACACTGGGGATGGAGTCTGCACCCGGGCATGTGCCCTGACCAGAAATGGAACCATGAACTCCTGGTTCCTAGGTTGATGCTCAACCACAGAGCCAGGCTGGCTGGGCCTCATCTCATTTCTAAGACAAAAAAGGCTAGAGACTATTTTTTGTCCCCACAGGAAGCTACAAAGGGATCTATGGATCATTTTGTTCATGTTCTTCCATTGCAGAGGAGGGAACTGAGGCCCAGAGCGTGGAGGTGACTTGCTGAAAACACACAGCAAGTGAATGATGAGATCAAACCTGGCGCCTCAGCTCCTTCAGAGCTCTATCTGCCAAATTCTGCTCACCATGAAGAGGTCCACGCTGGGGACATCCTTGAACCGAACCCATGTGGTGGTCTCGATTAGAGCCAGGGTTCTCACCCATTCCAAAGAACTGGCTACAGTAAATCGTTATCAATTCCTGTTTGGATAATTCAGAATTAGTGACAAGTTGGCCTGAGCTGGGCTGAAGTTGACCTCTGAATAATCTCAGCAAAAAGTGTCTATTGACAGTCCCAAAAGCAAACAAATTCTAAAAAAAAAAAAAAAAAAGGAATTTAAAAAGAAGTGTAATGTTATACCAAGAACACTCTCTTTCTAGTTACTGTCACATAGATAGTGGCGGCTGGGGTGACTGACCCACCCAGAGAGGGAAGACCTGGTGCTCTGCCTTCCTCACAGGCAGGTTGGTTACGAGTCTCAATTTGCAGAAGTGGAAACAGCCTCAGATGTGGTCATTAAGGGCCTCAAGGTCGCACAGTGGAAAAGGTGCTTCTGATGACCAGGCATAGCTCTTTCCACTGACTCACATCAGCCGGGCATCTAACAGTGATTGTGCCCATTTTAGGTGCCAGTACTATGCGAAGGTTGTCACAAGGATCCTCTCATTCCTTCCTCACTAAGCAATTGACAGTAGAAACACAATTTTGGAAAACATGGACATCTCATTTAAAGAAATAAATTGCAAACACTTCAGAAACATTCATCCATCCAAAGAATAATGCTCTGCTTGTTTGTTTGACTTTTAAATTGATTTCAGAGAGGAAGGAAGAAGAGAGAGAGGGATAGAAACGTCAATGATGAGAGAGAATCATGGATTAGCTGCCTCCTGCACACCCTCACACTGGGGATTGAGCCCACAACCCGGGCATGTGCCCCGACTGGGAATCGAACCATGACCTCCTGGTTCATAGGTCTACCCTCAACCACTGAGCCGTGCTGGCCGGGCATGCCTGTTCTAACTGTTCCCTTCACAAAACCCCCATAGTTCCCAAATACGTGGGAGACTGTGTGGCAAGCTAAGAGCGGAGGCTGTGGTGTTTCTCCCATTTACTAACCATGTGGCCGTGGGCAAGTTACTTAATCTCTCTGGCTTCAGTTCCCTCATTTATAAACCGGGGATAATAATAGTGACAACTCAGCGCCAATAAACACACTCACGCTTGTAAGCTCTTCGTACAGTGCCTGATGCATGTTAAGTACTTAATAATATTAGCTGTTATTATCATGTTGTTATTGACAGTAAGAAAAATGTCAGTTTCTTTAAGGGATTTCCTATACTTGAGGCTTTTTAGTAAACTAGATAAGATTCCAATTAATAGTGATGAGTGACCTCTCATTTATTTTTAAGTGACCTTTATTTATGTTTAATCGAATGTGTCAGTTGAGGCTTAGGGAGGTTAAGTGATGTATTATACTTACGGTTCCATAGCCTCAAGTGGTAGATGGAACTCAACATTGAACCCAAGTCTGGGTTCATGGATTTTCTGTCACACTGCATTTTTTGAAGAGAAATCTTAAAATTTTTTCTAAGGTTCAGTTTTTCCATGTGAACTCCATTCCTGTTTCCTTGATGTTAGTTTCTCTCTTTAAGAAGAAAGGAAAGTTTTTTCTTGAGTACCAAATATGCTGAGTTGGAACTCTAGCTGAGGAGGAGGTGAAGGAAGCAATCCATAGATGAACCAACACGATCCATATCTGTGTGTGTGTGTGTGTGTGTGTGTGTGTGTGTGTGTGTGTGTAAGTGGTAGTGAGAATGGGGGTAAAGGTAGGGTGGTGGGGTTGCTGAGCAGAAATAGGCAATGGGTACATACTTCAGGAGTATTCTTCTTCCCTTTGGTGGTTCCAATGGAGTGGCAGAGGGTGGGGGCAGGCAGATGAGGGAAAAGAATTTAATTGTAATCCTATTTCTGCCACTCTCTCCTGTGCCAAGTTCTCTGGCTCTAATGTACTGATTCCTTGAGGAAATCAAGGAACCTGTGTAAATTTACCAGTGTGGTACCTGGTACAGGATCGGTGTTCAATGAATGACATGTATCATTACAATTCGCCCAGCATTTTATGATCCTGAGAATTAGGAACCTGTCCAGCCATTGTGCTTTGTTTAGGTCACTCATTCATTTCTTACTCACTCCACTAAGTTTCTTTTCCTTCTTCTTTTTAAAAAAATATATTTTCATTTATTTCAGAGAGGAAGGAAGAGGGAAAGATAGAAACATCAATGATGAGTTTGATTGGCTGCCTCCTTCATGTCTCCCATTGGGGACTGAGCCCACAACCCAGGCATATGACCTTGACCTGCCCTTGACCCGGATTGAACCTGCAACCCTTCAGTCCTCAGAGCAATGCTCTATCCACTGAGCCTAGCCGGCTAGGGCCACTAAGTTTCTTCATCTGTAAGGTTAATGGAGTCCTTTAAGAATCTGATGAAAGTTGTGAATACTTTCCACAAATATGTATAATTTTGCAAGCAATGCTCTATCCACTGAGCCTAGCCGGCTAGGGCCACTAAGTTTCTTCATCTGTAAGGTTAATGGAGTCCTTTAAGAATCTGATGAAAGTTGTGAATACTTTCCACAAATATGTATAATTTTGCATGTAAGAGATTCATAGACCCTGCAGGCTCATTGATGGGCTTCTCGAGTTCAGAGATCCGGTTCTCAACCACATTCTTACCTCTTGCACCCCTTTCCCCAGCATATTCCTTGCTAAAGCCAGACAGCAAAGCAATTCCTCCAGCCTCTTGCAGCCCCTCCCCTGCTCTCCTGGCCCAGCCTTCCCTTTTCCTCTTTCATTCACTCTTCCTAAGCTAAGCTGGCTGCCTGCCCAGCCTCCTGCGGTGACATCAGGAAACCAGAGCCTGCAAAGAAAGTGAAACCTCATTCCAACCGGATTCCAAAGCTTTACTCAGAATTGGAGTTTCCCCTATGACTATGTGGGAGGAGCTTTGGTGTGTAGGCTACTTAAAAAAATAAATAAATAAATAAAGCCCAAAGCACGGAAAGTCCCTGCATCCTCTACAGTCCCATTCAGGCCTTGGGGGGAAAAACGTGAGACAAGGTCATTTCTTCCCAGCGGGCCCTTTCCCCGTCTGCACGTTGGAGAATTGGTTCCAGCATCCTTTCTTCACTATTGTTCACAAGAGTAAATATTTCTCACTTGAGCCAGTGATCGGCGGTCTCGCCCTTGCTTCTGCGGGCCCTGCTTGGGAAGGTGCTCCGTTAGTGCTGCTGGAGGATCTGCAGGAGGCAGCTGTGCGGAGATGCAAGCCAAGCCGAGGCCTCCCAGTGGGCTCTGGGGACTTGCCCCGGTGAAGGCAAGATTCAAACCCCTATCTGGGACTCTGCCACCTGCCCTTGCCCTTTGGTCCAGCTTATTCTTTCTGTGTTAGTCTATTTGGTACCCTCCTCCCCAACCCTCCCCATCTCCTCATGTGCATTCACTAGGTCGGAGGTACTAACCTTGGCAACTATTTTCATCCTTCCCACCACACGCAGGCTGGAGGGGTGCAGCCTAGCCTCCCCAGTCTTCTCACCTTCACCACACGGAACAGTGGCTGTGCACATCTGCTTGTTTTCTGTAGCTGGTGACCACATGTGGCGAGTTGTTGATGTGTTCTTGGGCTGCCGGAGGGGCCCACCACAAGGTGCCTTGGGGGGCTGGGCAGGCCTGGGAGCGAGGCTCAGGGGGC